CAAGATCCTTCACCTCTATCATCACCATCACCATTACGATGTCATTACCTCCATGCCTGCTTTCACAGGTTATCCCTACTATTGTGAAACGTGTGACCAAGGATACGCCCACGCTGAGATCATCGCTGCACCCGAGACTTCGATGTTACTGGTGCCAATGTCTCGATACTGTGGCGACGTGCGTGGTCAGGGAGGGCTCTCCTGTTCCAATGTGGCGGATGGTTCCGAAACCCTACCTGCTTTGAACATCATCGGACGGCCTCCGCCAAGCATCCCAGCACCTGCTCCACCATCCACACGTGTCATCGTTGCTATGCCAAAGTCAACGTGAGAAAAATCCAGGGCATGGTCAACCACCAGTGTGGCACGAATTGGGACTGCAAGATCTGCAAAGAACCCTTGAAACCCAACCACCAGTGTTACATGTCCGTCATCGAACCACCGAAACAAAATGAAGACGGTGAAAAAATGGATGAAGACAAAGAACGTCAGCAGCGTCAGTTCATCTCTATGACTTTGAATGTACCCAAGATCAAGGAACTCATGTTCCCCAACTTGTGTGTGGTGCATCTGGGATGTGGAAAATGTATTTCCGAGGCTTCGGATCAGCTGTGTGACAAGTGCCCCTGGCGTAAGGAAGGAGAAGGGCCTAGTCGTATCAAAGTGTTTCGGGGATCGACGACCTTGAAGGACATGGGCGACTGGCTGATGTCCCTGGTGGAAAAGAAAGAAGCAGAAGAAGAAACGTAACGGCATCCCAGAAGCAGCAGCCCGTCAGGCCGTGCCTCGAAACAACTCCAAACCGTCATCACCAGAACCCGATGATGATGATGATGATGTAGTAGAACAAGACAACGACGACAAAGAACAAGACGACGAAGACGACATTTCCCCTACCATTGATGATGACGACGTGTTGGTCATTGCTCACAACTACCGAGGGTATGATGGACACTTTGCTCCAACAGTACTTCCATCAACATCTCGTGAAAGCACCCCAGGTCACACTTCGAGGGAATCACATCTTGCAAAATGACCGTGGACGTCTTGTTTTCAAGGATTCACCTAACTTCCTCACGATGGCTCTGAAGCAGTTTCAAAAACGTTTGCATTGACGGAACTCAAGAAAGGCTACTTCCCTCACTTCTTCAACACCGAAGCTCACCAAGGCTATGTGGGTCCATATCCTCCCGTGTCTACCTACGATCCTGACAGCATGTTTTCTGCCGAACGCAAAGCTTTGGCCTGGTACGATGCACGGGTGGCTGAAGGGACTGTCTTTGATCTGGATGAAGAATTGTTGACCTACTGTCAGAGTGCGATATGGACATTTTGCGACGAGGCTGTGCTGCATTCCGCAACATATTCATCCAACAGAACAACGTGGACCCTTTCTATGAAGCAGTGACTCTACCCATGGCTTGCATGCTCACCTTCCAAAACAGTTTTTGGAACCCGGCACCCATCGCCATCCTACTCTACTCAAGGTTATCGTCCCCAGCGTCGCTACTCGCTTCAGTGTTCCACTGGCTCAACTGGGTCATGCATCAACACCCTGGGGTCCACATCCAACATGCTCGGAATGGTGGAGAAGTAGGCTTTGACTGTGCTGACGGTAGCCGTTACATGGCAGATGGCTACGACGCCAAGACACGCGACCGTGTACGAATACTTGGGCTGTTTCTGGCATGGATGTACTCGCTGTTACAAGACGGACCGATGTGAACGCCATACTAGCTTGGGTACCACCCCTGGGAACGATACCATCATACCATGTACCGGCTGGGTGTGTTACGCCAACATCCCGACATCGGCCAAGTGGTGACCTCTGGGAATGCGATTTTCTGAAACAACAGAAAGACAACGGTGATCTGAGAGCCTTCCTGACTACCCCTGCAAGGACCCAATGCCTACATGCCTGACCCGTTGAATCCTAGATGCTTTCTTTGGAGGTCGTACCAACGCCACCAAACTGTACTTTTACGAAGCCAAAGAAGATGAAGAAATCAAATATGTGGACGCTCTGCTCGCTGTACCCTTACATCTGCAAAGTATGGTACTTTTTCCCGTGGGACACCCTCTGAGATCAAAGATCATCCTCCCGTGTCTGACTTGTTTGAGCTCCACGGCCTGATCCAGTGCCGAGTCTTGCCACCCACCGACCTCTATCATCCTGTTCTTCCTTACAAGTGTCAAGGCAAACTGCTCTTTCCACTGTGCCGTGACGCGGTGCTGAAGAGCAGTTGATGCTCCCCTGCCCCCACGGGGATGAAGACCGGGCATGGATCGGTACCTACGTCAGCAAAGAGCTTCCAGTTTGTTGTTGAAAAGTGCGGCTATCAAGTGCTTCACATCTTTGAGGCTTGGCACTTTGACACGCTGGCCACCTACGACCCTTGACACCCTAAGAGGGAGGACTGTTTGCCAAGTATGTCAACAATTTCTTCAAGATCAAGCAAGAGGCCAGTGGCTACCCCCGAAGGTTCATGTCCAGAGACCCAGGCGCCTACATCGACGAGAGATACAAGCAGAAAGAGGGACGTCACCCTTGGATCCTGCTCACATTCGCAAAACCCAGGACACGTGCTTTAGCCAAGGCCTGCCTGAACAATCACTGGGGCAAAGTTTGGTCAACGCGTTGGGTTTGCCAAGACGAATATATCAGTTCCCCTGAGAGGTACTTTGCCCTCCTCCGGGATGAGCGCCGTGTGGTGAAAGACATTAACATCATCAATGAAGACCTCATCTGTGTCACTCATGAACCTCAGGCAGACTTTCACGATCCTCATCCAGCCCACAATGTGGCCATTGCAGCCTGGGTGACAGCACAAGCCCGTCTCAAGTTGTATTCTTATTTGCAACCGTTGGATCGACGTGTCCTCTATTTTGATACGGGACAGTATCATTTTACATTCACCGTCCATACGAAGTTACAACCCACCACTGGGAGATACCTTGGGAGAGCTGACTGATGAACTGGGAGGGGCAACAGCATTCAAACCTTTGTCTCGGCAGGACCCAAGAATTATGGCTACAAGCTGCGCCTTATCCTCAATCTGACGGCAGTGTGGGCATCAGCAAGGTCCGAGGATTTACTTTAAATCACAGGGCGAGCTCAGCATGTCCACTTTGACAGCATGAAGAACCCTCGTCTGTCAGAGGGATCAAGCCAACATCACGTCCTTGTACCCACACCGCATCATTCGCGGAGGACTTCGTCAGGGCAACGTGTTGCTGTCCAAGGACACCACTAAAACCTATCGCTTGGTCTATACCAAACGCCGAGTGCAGTACGACCCCTTGCAAAGGCGTCCCCAGGGGAAACTCTCCCTATGGCTATAAAGAGGAACCCATCCCTCCCATGGACTTTTTTGATGTAGACATGCTCTGATGTATTGATGTTTAACCCATAAAATGTGATTGACTTGTTCATTTGTTGTTCTATCAATCAATAAATTGTAATTGTATTGTACTCTTTTGTGTTATGTCGTCTCTCTTCAGGGCCAGGCCTGGTGGATCCATGGTCTCTCTGTTGTAATTCTCAGACCCAGACCTGGTGGAGTCCATGGTCACCCTCAATCCTGTTGTACCCTGGCGCAGGGAAGCGTTCTGGGCTCATAACTCAGACCTGGTGGAGACCACGGTCACGTTGACGTCACACACCCTATGACGTCATCACGACCCCAGTGTGCTCCATATAAAGAGACGTTTCTGTCAGAGTCATTACAGATTCTGTTGTCTAAGAAAAGAGAAGGATGGAATCCGTTCACAAGCGATAGGCTTAGGAGAATCGTTGTGGTCTCGTACTCGCTATCAAGCAGGTCGAAGCCGTGGTCGACAAACTGATGACGCTTAAAGTCCCTGACCATCCTCATGAAGGCAGAGATTATCGAAAACCTCGGACCTCCTTTGACCGTGTCAGAGAATTGTTAGACATGCTTCCCTCGACGTGGACCCCAAGCTACTCCCTCTGCAAAGCTTTGGAGGAATGTGAAGAAACAGAAGCCATGACCTTGCTGGGTCTCAAGACTTAACCGGACAAGCGCACAGTCACAAGTGACACTCCTGGCTATTCTTCTATGGAATCCAGTCACCGCTCAGCAACTTTCTCATCCAGCTGTGTTTACCTTTGGATGGTGTTTACATTTAATTGTGTTGAACAGTGTTACATGCACTCCTAAAAGCCATGTACTTTGGAGATGACGACAGTGCGATCACTGCTGCGATTCTGCACGAGGCTGTTCCAGCAAAGCAAAACGTCTGGGGCGATGTGTGAAAGGTTTCACTCAAACAGTGTGGGACACGGTCAGTCTGGAAGTGATGACCAAGGCGATCACGGCTAAATTTTCCCCAGAACAAGGACTTGAAACAGAGATTGATGATTCAATCCTACCCAAAGTCGTTAGCTGAAGCTAGCCCCTACGATCAACGATGGGGAATAGGAATGGGTGTATCTCATCCGAATATTGACAAACCCTGGACATGGTCGTGGAAAACAAGTTGGGAAAAGCACTCATGCATCTTCGTGACATCATCGCTGTTGTTGTTGTGGAGTGACGTCATCCATGGGTCAACTCTAATGACGTCATCCATGCACGAGCCACGTGACGTCATCCATGCACGCGCCACGTGACGTCATCCTGTGTATCTCTATAAAAGACTCTGACCCCATCGTGATTCTCATTATCATGCTGTTCACGCCACTCTTTGTGCTTGCCACCCATCTAGAAGAGAGACACTTTATAGAACAGTTCAGAAAAGCCGTTGCAAAGAGGCCATCCAGGAAACAACACGATCGTGACGCCATTTGAAGTGACGTCATTTGAAGTGACGTCATAGCTCGCGCTGCTTGCGTTGCTTATAAAAAGCGCAGGATCGATCGAGCGAGGTCATCAGATTGCATCAGTTCAGTGGATTGAAGATAGCATCATCTCCAGGCAGCCTCCCTTCTCTTCCTTCGCCAACTTGGCTTCGCAGGCAAAGGGACTCCTCGGCTTGACATGGCCTACATCTCACAACACCATGATGACTCCAAAGCCAGTTATAACAAGACCAACTACATGGATCTCTCCAGGACCGGCTGGGCGCGGTGATGGAACAAAAGTTGCCGTCGATCATCCGCAAGCTGGCAGATATTCAGCCAAAAAAGAGAAACACACTGTATGGCATGGCCGAGTGCGGCTTCTGTAGAGTTGACTGAGGAAGACTATTACTGGATGGCGTATCACCAAGACCACTTGGCGATCCTCTCCGATTGTTTCAGCAGATGCGTGTCACCAAACGGTCCTCGCATCGGTATCAACGATAGCTATGCCAAGGAAAATGGTGGGAGACCTTCCTCAATAAGCTGTTCCAGCATCGTGTTCAAGCTGAGGAATGGACGTCCTGTATGACCTATGACCATGGTGTGCTGCACAGCAAGCTGTTAGCCAAACTCCAGGTGAAAAGCTCTGGCCTCACCCACCCAGCTATGAGATCTTCGAGTATGCCACCACTGCTCTACCTACCTTCTCAATGTCCAGAGGTCACCGACATGGCGCCAAGCCCGTGCCTCTCGAAAAAAGAATACCTCCCAAGACTACGCTCGCCAAGACTTCTCCAAAGAAGAAGAAGAACAGGCCCCCACCACCCCTTCCCAAGGCGCCCACCAAGATGACGTCACCTCCCCCAGGGGACTCCTGGCCACGACTCTCCAAAGGAAACAGAAGAAGAAGGAGGAGGCCCCCACCAAGACAGTCACCAAGAAGACGCCCCTCCCGCCATTATCATCTCCCCAAGAAGGCACCCCCCAAGCCTAAGAGTCTCAAAGCACCCCCAGACTCCAAAGAAACAGTTGGAGATGACTGACTTGTGGGGAGAGGCGAAGGGTCAAGGGATCAGTCCTGGGGCTATCAGGAGGGAGAGTTACCTCAGATCTGCAAGACATGTATGATCTACCCCGATGGCTATCACCATGGAAGCAGAGCAGACAAGGGCAGAAACAGAGAGTGAAGAGCAGAGGGCTCAAGAGACGACTTCAGTGATGGCTCCAGAGACGGATCTGGTGATGACTTCAGTGACGGCTCCAGAGACGGATCTGGTGATGACTTCAGTGACGGCTCCAGAGACGGATCTGGTGATGACTTCAGTGACGGCTCCAGAGACGGATCTGGTGATGGCTTCAGTGACGGCTCAGAGGAGGAGTCAGAGACTTTGCCGACATTCCATGTTTAACGATGAAAACCATTTTCATCCCGGTCAAATGGACTTTTTACGGTGTTCGACTTGCAATCCCAATGATCACCTGAACTGGTGGTGATCTGTGGATGACCTGTTGTTGTTGATCTGTTAATGTATCATTATTATTGTTGATCTGTTTGCCATGTTGATGTTGTTCCTCAATAAATTGTGAATTCCATTTTCAAAGGGTTGTGTCTTCTATATCTTCAGGGATCTTAGCTCTTAGAGGTCATTTCCGGTGCAACCCGCCAGAGACGGTAAGACGATGCGTCAGTATGTCAGGGACACTATCGGGACAGTGTTAGACTCAGCAGACCTGGTGGAGGCCATGGTCACCCCACGCGTTACGTCATCCCGCTACCATGTTAATTGCAGGCCCTACAGGGTCGTGGTAAAACATCGCTTGTCAAAGCCTTCATGGAACATGTGTTTCAACAGGATCCTAGATCTTCCACCTCAGGGCATCGTGTGGGTGTACGGTGAATGGCAACCCATGCATGAGGACTTGGAAGTTCTGACTTCGAGGTTAGGGATACCCTGACGTTTGTGCAAACGATGGGGAAGCCAACACAGCAGTTACCTGCAGGGTCTGGGGCTAAAGACCGAGAAGGGTTTGCCTACGCCCCATTGGTTGATCATTGATGATTTGCTGGGCGACAATACCAAAGTTAGGAAGAAGCCGGAAGTTCTGCGATGGTTTCAATAAGAAAGTCATCATCGCCAACACGTCCGTGTTGTACTTGGCCGCCAAAACCTCTTTGCTTCATCATACTCATCATCGCACCATTAGTTTAAATGCCCACTACATGGTGCTGTTTAAAACCCAGGGCGCCTAGCAAATGAATCCTTGGCCAGACAAATCTTTCCAGGACAGACGGCCTTCCTTCCGGGAAGCCTATGAGGATACCACTTTGGCTCCTTATTCCTATTTGTTTCTGGACTTGAAACCGACCACGGCCAAAAGAGTTACCGTGGTACGGTCCATCTCTTTCGTAACCCCACCATCGCTACATTCCCAAGTTAAGTAAATAGAGATGAGCGTCTACCCTAACGTGGAGTTGACCCAGAGCTGCCATGGGAGACAGGCGGAAACAGACCCAGCCCGCCAAACGTGCTGTTGCCACAGGGTTGTTTAAACCGATCCATAAAACACTCCTGACCACCTTGGGTCGTGATCCCACCGAACAACATCGGTCAGTCAGGTGTGCAGCGACTATACGAAGAGTCTAAGTGCTCCTCCTCCCTCTGCTTCCTCCTCCTCCAAACAAAGACGTTCCTTAAAGCAGTTGTACCCCACAGCACCCACCATGAACAACACGTTTGTCCCTGTCAGTATCGTGCCTCTCCTGCTGCCTTCTCTCCCCTTCTTCTTTTCGGCCTCCCCCTTCATTCCCATCGTCTCCCTCTCCCACCATGATCCAACCCTTTCAACCTTTGACCCAGCGGTACCACCAGCACCAAACGCACCGGCAAAAGCGTCGCAGTGCTAAACGCTAACCGGGCACCCCACGCAAAGGAAGCCACAGAAGCATGCCCAGCCGCCCAGAAAAAGTCAAACCCATCATCGTGGAAGAAACGACTCCCTTCGGCAGAGGCGTGGCTGTCAAAGGGCGTCATCGACTGTTGCAATGGTTTGTCATTGCTGTGAAAATCTGCGAGCAGGGCGTGTTCCTTTGAAGAGCGCAGCACAAGACCTGGCTGTTGAGACACCAGAACATGCTGACCAAGATTGCGAATCCACGACTACCTTTGGATGAAGCATACTGAGTTACCTGATGAAGCGCGGTGGAAGTGAGTGCGTTGGCTGGTGTGTTGACCGATATCTTGCTGAACTGGCAGTCCTACCTACGGGAAAAACAGCAGAAGCCCTCAGCACCTCGCCCGTCGCCGCCGTTGCCCTAAGCAACCCAGGGCGCGTCAAGTCCTGCCCGACAAGAGAACAAGAAGAAGAAGAAGAAAAGGTCACTTCCCCTCAGCCCCAGGTGCAGCCTTGACCCGAATGGTTATTCTGAGAGTCAAAGAAGAAGAAAGACCACAGCGGCATTACCCCCACTCCCTCAGCGACATTACCATAAATAGAGGCCTCCCACCCCATCCTGGTCAGTTCAATGGTAGCAGCTGCAGGACGACACCATCATCATAATGTCGCACGTTTGAGCGTCACAAAGAAGCTCTGTCGTAATGTAGTAGTCCTTCCTGCGACACCAGCCATGCGACAGGCTATTTTGAAACAGGCCCCATCGAACTGATTCAAGCCATCTGTGAATCGTGGTGAATTTGTATGGAGGCAACATTCCTATGACAGCACAGCAACGTCCAACGTTTACAAAAGCATGGGTCACTGATGCATCGTTGATGAAAAAGAAGGTGTCTGTCCAAGAAACGTCAACTTTTACAGCAGAAAGGAAGGGATTAGGTCTCTTGTCTGCCTTTGGCCTCGGGTGGGTCCCTTGGTGTCTGGCCTGTTGGGTAGATGATCCTCAAGGAAGATCCTCAAGGAAGATCATAAATAGAGGACACATCCCTAGATTGGGGTTAGTTGCATCTGCACCGTCCTACCACCAAGATGAAGCATGCACGGAAGATGGTGATGGTCCCAGAAGAGGTATGGCAAAGTCTGCAAGAAGAAAACGTCAACGACATTTGCTCAAGTCCAACCTGTTGGAACAGAAACGTGTGCACACGCTTCACGATATGGATACCCTCGTCCGTGATGACCACGGTTCCTTTTAAGGGACCGAGAGCAGCAGTATAACACCTTGTTGCAGCACACCTTGGCGTTTCAAGACCAAGCGGCTGTCAAACCACCTGACCTTTAGAGGCCACGGGCACCCCTTAGGTTGGCACTCCCAGGGTTAGCACACCGTGGACTGGATCTCCTCACCGTAAGTACGGTTGACTTACTGAGCGATAGTATCTACATGTGTCCCGCGTGAAATTAAGCCTTCCTAAGAAGGAGTCCATGCAGAAGCGGTCGTGAGAGCAGTGGCTCATGGTTTCAATTTGTTCTTTTTGTTTCAGAACCCGATGATGTTCCGAAGCTATTCTGAATGAAGTCGTGCAAACGGTTCCCAAAACGCGCTACAGACCAAGGCCAGGCAGTTGATGGCCCAGTATTAGATGCTCATCCCGACTTTGGGTTGGAATGAGGCAGGTCAATTCGTGGTGGAAGGGAACCCATGCCTGGGACGCACATGGTGGATCTCATCAATGATCTTGTTCGATTAGCGTACCAAATTAGGCCCTCCACGGGGTTGGAATATTCTGGGTCAGTATCTCGCTTCCAGCAATGTACCCCATGAACTGATTGGTAACCCTCTACGTTGGTCCTGGATGATGAAAACCAAAGGGTCATCCACCCAGCCTCCTGACACCCAGCTGCGAAGCGTCCACACCCTCCACCCACTGACTTGTTTTGACACCTGCCTGTATCCAACCTTCCTCTGGAACCCCAGAAGAAGAAAAAGCTGTAAGGACCCCTCCTCCCTCCTCAACCGGGTTCGTCCAGTGGATTCACTTTTAATAAAGGGAGCAGAGGGTGATGTCAGCGACAGTGTCATCATGAGAGGCGTCCAAAAGAGAAACAACATCAGCAAAGCATCATCATCATCGTCTTTGTCACCTGCATGGACACGATGGCTCCACCACACCTATTACGATCCCAAACACCCAGCAGGCTATGGAGGGTGGCTTGCCTTGTGGCAAGCAGCAGGACATCAAGCAAAGCAGGACCCAGGAAGGAAAGCAAAAGCAAAACGGGGTGAAAGGCCCACAGCGCGCCATGTGCGGCAATGGTTGAAAACCCAGGACATGTACACCTTGCACAAACCAGCCGACGCTCGTTCCCAGGGATCATTACCGTGTGGGTGGCGTGGATGAATTGTGGCAAGCCGATCTGGCGATCTCCTTATGTGATCAGAAAGAGAGCCTAAGGCAACCGTTATTTGCTGTGTGTCATCGATGTTTTCTCCAAAATGGCTTGGGTGCAGCCCATGAAAGCCAAGACCGGTGCCACTTTGATAGAGGCCTTTCAACGGATCCTGAAACAAGCCAAAGGACGTGTGCCATCCCAGTTACAGACAGACAAAGGGACTGAATTTGTCAATGCTCCTTTTCAAGCCTTCCTCAAGAAACGGGGTATTCATTTCTACACCAGTCAAAACCCAGAAACCAAAGCCTCTGTGGTGGAACGTTTTCAAAGGACGTTGAAAAACCGTATGTGGCGTTACTTCACCCAACAAGGGACACGCCACTACCTGAAGGCCTTACCCCAGCTGATGCATTCCTACAATCATCGTGTCCATCGTACGATTGGACAACGCCCCGTGGATGTACGTCCTAACGCTCCCTACGATGAAATTCGAGTGTTGGATCACATGGAACGACAGAAGAAGCAGAAGCAGCGCCAACTCAAGACAAAGAAGAAGAAGAAGAAGAAGAAGTACCCTCTCTTGTTACCCGGGACCCGTGTCCGTTTGAACAAGACCAAGGGCACGTTTGACAAAGGGTACCTTCCCAACTGGACCACCGAACTGTTCACCGTGGATCGGTGGTGAAAGGTCGTGTTCTCCTGTCTACCAAGTGAAAGATGATCATGGAGAAGTGCTGCAAGGCACCTTTTACCCGCAAGAACTGCAACCCATTCAGAAAACGGATGATGTGTACACAGTGGATCAGGTCCTGAAACGACGGCGTCGTCAAAAAAGATGAAGTGCTGGTGAGATGGTCAGGATACCCTGCCAGCTTTGATTCATGGATCCCTGCGGCTCATCTGGTCTTTTAAATAAGCGTGGCCTCCAGTCTCCCACCGTCAGTGGAGCCTCCACCATCATGCAGAAGTGAACCGATCTCAAGGTGTAGTGGAGGGCGGCAAGTCATCCTGGCACGCTGGTGTTGCTTTGGCATGGACTTGCCACGAAGTGAAGTGGTGTTTTTCTCCCAAGTGTTTCTGATATATGGCGTGGTCATCATGAGCATGGTTCAGTTGGCATTGGACAACGGTGAGAAACAGTTGTGGACAGCTTTGTTGGCCAGTAGCTTGGGGTACTTGCTCCCACAACCCACGTTGGTGTCGTCGTCGTCGTCATCATCATCCACGTTGCCACCTTCCTCGGCTACATCTCCAACCCCCTCTGTATCCAGTCTGGTTCCCTAAGAGAGAGAGAGAGAAAGATGTCGGTGTCTGTGTTTTCCAAGCGGGACTTTTACGTGACCTTACCCAGCGATGCGTCCATGGATGTTCATCCCGACAACAGAGTGAATCATTACTTAAGTCAAACTACCCTTTCCATTCAAGTGAATCGTCAGGAGTGGAAGTCGGCGTCAGTGAACTTCATTTCCCCATGACATGGCAATGTGTCATACCCCTTCAACTGGTTTGTCCTTCATGTGAACTTGGAACGCATGACCGGACTTACAGTTCAGCAGAGCAGCGATGCGACCGTGGACAGAAGAGAACAGGCATCATCAGAGCCGTCAGCGAAAAGGTCATTATTCCAGAAGGAGTGTATTCCGTCGCCAACTGGTCCAGAGACTGAACATCCTGCTTCAACACACCTGTGCACGGCTGTTGGACAAGCATACGCCAAGATGTTTACCAAAAGCCGGATGCCCGAGCTCGTTCACCGTCACCGTGAACTACCCCAAAGAAGACCTCCGATTTGAAATGCGGCAAAGCGCATGTCAACTTTTATGCTCCCACCCCGAAAGACATGTGCAGAGCCATCACGGGTTCCTCCTGCAGAACCGCAAGTCAACCTGACCACGATGCCATCAGGTCTGCCTACACCACCGATTGGTGCTGCCTGCTCCTTTGAATGCGATGCTGGGAGTTCTATACAGCTCCCCATGGTGGGCCTAAGCAGAAGAAATAAGCCAAGTCTCTGCTCAGCCTGTGCAGGTGGCTGCGCTTTGACCGCCCTCTCGTCGTGGGTGAACAGGAAGCACACCATCTGGCTGGTTTGATACCGTTATGCGTCTACCGGATGCAGTGGAAGATCAAATCGTGGGGGATACCATGGCTCCCTTACTGATGTATGTCCCGTGTCGCGCCAGATGATGGAAGACAGCGTCGTGATCAAAACCCCTCAGCACCTTACGCTACATGGGATTGCGTCAGGGAACCACGGATGCCATTCGAATCTATTTAACGGATGGCGAGGGCGCCTCGTGCCATTCCAGACTGGGAAGACCATCGTGACATCTTCATTCCGTCCTCGTCGCTCTGGGTACGCATTACTGAGAATCAGCATGGTAGGACATCAGTGTATCAGAACTCGCGCAGCGTGCAGCGCTTGGGTGGACAGCAGCGAGGAGGAGCGGCTTAGCCCGTGTACGGGAGGCATTCATCAACGAGGGAGAGGTTTCGCAACATCTTGGGTAACTTAGGGACGTTCAGCTCTCCATCCTCAAAGACGGTGGGAAAATCCGCTCTCAAATCAGGCGTCAAGATGTTGCCGGATTGGTGCAAGATATCCGTTCAGGACACCGAAGTGTGGGGGACAGTTTGAAACATCATGGAAAACAAGCCTTACTCGCCACCTTGCGACAGCACTTCCCCACCAGGATCACCCGCTTCGCAAAACGAAAACGGAAACAGCCTGTGGGATCCACCAAGAAACGTAAACCCTTGTTTTGAGAGAGAAAGAGATAAAGACCCACCCCGATGGGAAAGGAGTTCAGTTCAACACCAGACACCGTAGGTCAAGACCTGTTGTGTAGACCTGTGGTCCAGATCAGCTGTCAAGATGATGCGCCGAGATGCCTGTGAATGCTCCAAGGCCCAACTGGATCTCTTTTCTGTGCCCCTGTGGTGGCGTCCGTCCAAGAAGGTCAGTGGATTCGATACAGCCCTCTGGCACCCCTTCGGTCGCGGGCCCCTCTCAATTTAACATTGCTAACCCTGTCAATGCCTACATCGATTTGAGCCAGTGTTACCTCCGCATCTGCCTCAAAATCAAGAATGCAGATGGTACGAATGCAGTTAAGTGAGGGCGATGGGGCACTCGCCGTGTCCACGGTGAACAACATGATGCATTCCCTCTTTAAGTGAAGTGCGTGTACAAGTGGGACACAACCAACTTTGAAATTACTCCTTCCATGGGTACCTATCCCTACCGAGCCTATTTGGAAACGTTGCTGAGTTATGGGAAGGCAGCCAAAGGGACCCATCTCCAGTGTCCAGGATGGTACACCCGATGAAGCTGGAAAAATGGATCACACTTTAATGCTGGCTTCCAGAATGCCAGCGCCCGGACTTGTCGCGACGGCCAGAGGGTCATTCTACCCACCGAGTCGTGGAACTGACAGGGCGTCTCCACTGTGACTCTGTTCTCCAAGACCGGTACCTGGTGGATGGAGTCCCCCATGAAACTAGAACTGATTAAGCAGCCCAAGTGATTTCTACTTGATGAGTGCTGGAGACGTCAGTGCCGATTTGAACTGACCAAAGCCGAAGTTTTCGTGCGCCAAGTCAACATTGATCCTGCCATACGGGAACAACCGCATTGAAACACATGTCACCAGGAGTCACGGCCAAATATCCTTTGACCCGAAGTCCAAGTCACAGCCCACGACATCTCAGGAGGAGGACGCGATTTCCACAAAGATCAACTGATTGGAGGCCAACTGCCCAAACGAGTGGTGTTGGGATTGGTGGACAATGATGCTTTTGCCGGCAGCAAGGAAAGAACCCCCTACCATTTCAAGCACAACAACGTGACCAGTCTCAAGCTGAAACTCAATGGACAAGAAGTGCATGGCACCGAAATCAAAAGCGACTTTCAGGACAACAGTGCCTCGCTCAAACAGTTGTACATGAACCTGTTCCGCAACACGGGACACCTGTGGCAAGAACATCCCTGCAACCTCACCCTGGGCGAATTCAGGAACGGATTCACCGTGTGGGTGGTGGATCTGACGCACGGATCTGGGCGCAGATGAAGGGTATAACTACCACCTACAGACGGGCAAGTTGGGACTTGAACTTCAGTTTGCAGAACCCCTACCACGCCCCGTCACGCTCGTCTGCTTCACGAGGAATCTGAAAGCGTTTTGGAAATTGATGGTTCCCGCAACGCTCTTCTGATGGTCTAAGGATGGACGACGACGACAGTGGCTTGACGACCAGGCACTTGAATGCCCTCGCATTACAACAGGATCCCCTGCTGCGACCCCTCTACCAAGGTACCTTTGCCGAGATCACTTTGCCACCACCGTACTGTGTGAACAGCAGGAGGGACATTATCCTAAAGCCTACATTGTCAACACGGACCCCAGCCATCTCCCAGGACAACACTGGGTGTGCGTGTATCGTCCAGTACCTGGTGCCATGGACTACTTTGACAGTTATGGGCTCCATCCCTATCAACAGCATCCAGACTTTCGAAATGTCATGACCTTCGCCGGATGGCTCCAACAACAACGGTGGAATGGCCAATCACTTCAACCCTGGTTCAGTGCCTCTTGTGGAATGTACTGTTTGTATGTACTGGCTCATCGTGCCCGTGGATGGTCTTTTGACGAAGTGATGGAACAGTTTGATCCCTACGATACCCTCGTCAATGAAGAACGTGTAAGACGTTGGTTTCAACCCGCACGCCTGACAGACAACAACGCTGACCATGATCCACACCCCTGCCAAAGGACACAACCTTATCGTTCTGATGTGATGATGTTACAGTTCTGATGTTACAGTTCTAATGTTACAGTTCATACCGTTTGTAAACAAAAGATCAGGGACGCCCCTAATCCTGTCTCTTTTGTCAAAGTGTTCTTGTTAGCGGGGGAAATAAAACGTTTGAAAAATGTCAACCTTGTGTTGTTATTATTGTTGTTGGCATTGAAACGAACCTTTCTTTTGAGAGAGATGGATGGCCCTGAAAAGGGCCGTTTTTTCGGAGTGTACTTCACTCCAGGGACCACAGTGGGGTCATACATTGGCAGGGATGAATGGCCATCTTTGTCTTGACGGGGCACTTGCTCCCATGGGTCAATCGGCGGATGTACGTGTCCTTCAAGACAGTGCCACAGTACACACATTGGAAGGTACCACGATAGTCATCAGTCCCATTAGCGTAAACAGGCAGGCAGCCATGACATTGTTGACACTGCCATGCCGGCAAGGGGGGTGGCGATGTTGTGTCCAAGGGTATCAGTTCTAACTCCCAGTTTTCTTCAGCCATGATTGCTGATTGTAACACTGCTTCGGTCATTCCGCTCATCCTATATAGTGAGAGCTCACGATCATGACGTCAGCGGTGCCACGTCATGACCCTCACGCGCGACCATGACGTCACCGGGACTACGTCATTACCCTCACGCGCGACCATGACGTCATCGATACCACGTCATCGATACCACGTCATCGCTGTCTGGTCGCCCATATATAAACTCCAGCATGGGTCAGTGAGAGCTATCTTCATGCAACATGAATACAAGAAAAGTAGAAGTCATGCGACCGACGCCTTACAGGAAAAATTGTGGTAGGAGGCAATGCCTACGATGCAGCCCTACCTTACAAGAGAAGGCTGACATCAAAAGGGAAGAGACAGAAGCAGCGGCAGCCCCACCATCCACGGCAGTACCACCTCCGCCACCGGCATGGCAATGTCTACCACCCAATTGGAAGTTCATTATATGCCAAACGTGTTGGAAAGCCTTGCCGTCCAACCAATTTGATGTCACCCCAGGTGCACCGTACTACGTGTGTACCTACTGCGGGGGCGGCGTCCGCAAAGGGGCTAACCATCTCCACGACGAAGTCTGCCCCGGGAAATTTATTTTCCGGGGCCTCGACCTGCTCTGTCTATGTACCATCGCCACCACAAAGTGAGGTCTCACCTTCCCGTCCATACCATCACAACGGCCCTTTTCAGGGCCACCCACCTGGCTCGAAAGAATGCTACATCCAATGTTGTTTTAACCACACCACACACACACACACACACACACACTAACACTTGTCTAGCCACGCCATCGTGTCCGCCTCACCCCCTCTCTCCCTCCCTTCCCTCTCCTTTCCTCTCCGTCCCGTCCCGTCCGCCGCTCGTCCGTTCCGCCATCTTGAAAGGCGTCTACGCTCGCGAGATCCCGCGAGAATCCACGAGATCCCGCGAGATCTCACGCGATCCCACCGGATGGGACGCCATCTTGAAACGCGTCCGCCATCTTGGCCCGGAGGTGACGTCAGCGTCATGTGCGCGCACCCCGGAACCGGTCGTGACGTCATCGCGATGCGTGCGCACCCACCGGAACCGGAAGCACCGGAACCGGAACCCGAGTGATCTCCCTGACCGGAAGTGACTGATCCAAGATGGCGGCATCCGGTCACCGTGGGTCGCCATCTTGATCCAAGATGGCGGCGCCCATGGGGACCGGATGCGCCGCCATCTTGAAAAAGGGGCCAGGGTGACGTTGCACACTACTTGCAATATATAATGTTCACTTGGAATCGTATGGTAAATAACGCGCAAGTCTCAAAAGAGAACTGCATCGGACATTATGTAGGTAACTGATGCATAACAATGTGTTTATGTGCTATGCATGTTTACATATCTGTTTGAAAGCCTCTATTTGATAGTGATTCATACACACATGCTCTTTCATCGTATCTCGTGGAATCAGTCACTGGATTGTCTGGTCCAGGCTCGATTGCTTGCAGATCGCGTCGAATGCGGCGCTAAATAAACACATACTTTTGATATAGTTTGATATATTTTGCATGTGGAAAGGGTTTTGTCGCTTCTATTTTGTCTTGTTTTAAGTGTTTTGACCATGATTAATTCGCGTTTCGATGATAATTTGTTTATCCGGACGGAACTGTTCAAAGTAAATTGAGTTCACACTTTAAAGCGCCATTCCTGGATTCAGGATTAAAAAGATTATCTTCATAGTGTTCAGTGTGACGATGTGTGATGGATGGTTAGGTTAACCGTGGTATAAGAGTGATTGTCAGTATCGAGAAGGATCCTGAAACAATACAGGGGTGTTTCAGTAGGGAATGCACTGGATTGTGACATATAATGTGACAGTGTTGCTATGTTCTTGTAGCTAAGTACTACAGAGGGAATGAAGACCGAGACGTTGAGAAGGCTCCTTGTGTGTGCCCGCTGCCGTGTAGGGAGACCCATTATGCTGCAGCTGCCACTTGTACCAAGTTTCGAGCAACCAGCTTCTTTGAGAGCATAGTGTAAGAGATTCATTTTCATACTCCCTGTTGGGTTACAAGTGAAATAGGTTTTGCTGGAATAACTATCTGCACAAATAATATTTTGTTTGACACCAACTCTCCTTGACAGCAAGATAAAAAACGTGTTGTATGGGTGACTGTGTGTTTTCCGTAAAGGTAACTTTAGATAAGTTTGGATGTAAAATGTAAAAAAATAATACGATCGCACACTAAACGACGAAACTTGCAGGAATGTACACTTTAAATTTTGCCAAATCTTGTATGGTAATATTATCTATCATCTGATACAAAGATGGGGATAAACGGATGACAAGATGATTCTCCGTACATGTGAGTGTGAGTGTGAGTGTGAGTGTGTGTGTGTGTGTGTGTGAAACCCATTATGATGTAATCAGTTAAGAAATGGTTGTTATATTGAGGCCACCGTTTCAGTCTTCTCTGTTATGACATACTACCTATTGTTTTTTACTTTGATGCCTCTGCTTTCCATGAAACACTACTTGTTAACCCATATTAATAATGCCCCCTTTTAAGCTCACCTTTCATGATCCCATGTGCAGAACCACCTTCTTTGCATGTTCGAAATTGACTTGTTTCAGTAATTCAAATGTTTTGTCTGTTCTCCAATTCATCACAGTCATGATCTAGGCGCGGATGTTGTGACGCTTCACTTCTTCTTTCCTGACCCTGTCGTCACGACCATTGAACAAGTTCCAATATACACCGTTGAGGGACTGCTAGGTGAGAGGGTGGATGTTATAACAACCTGCATACCAGCGTGTTTCTACCCATAGTAATAAATGTATTTTGTGTTGCCTCGTAAAACCTAATGTCACTTTCATTATTTTATGATTCATGCTCTTTGACTTGGTGGACCTGTGAAGATCCGGGTTATATTAGATCTTCCGTAACCCATGCTTGTCGTAAGAGGCGACTAACGGGATGGGGTGGTCAAGCCCGCTGACCTGGCTGACATCGTATCCTAATTGCGTAGATCGATGGCCATGATGTTGATCACTGGATTGTCTGGTCCAGACGATTATTTACAGACTGGAATATTGTTGAGTGCGGTGTTAAAAACAATCAAATCAAACCAAACGATTGACTTGGGATTAGATATCGTCTATCATCATTGTGTAGATCGATGTTCATGATGACAGCAACTGGATGGTTTGAACCGGAATCAGATTATTAGGTGCAACATTGATCTGGTGTAAAACTATGAGTAGGAACGGTTACGTCAGAACGGTTGTGTGGTACCCTATTTAAGGTACATGCGAGAGACGGAGTAGGAGTACGCCTCGTCCATTAATACTATCGTATTACATTTGGAAGTTCAGTGCACTCTTTTTAATTCTGCTATTAGTCCATTCCGAAGATGAAGTACGTCTCCCACGCCTTCTAGGAACATGATCATTGTGTGGAGAGTGTGTAACTCGTCCATTTGTATTTTCACAGGTTCCATTGGCGGACAGGTTGGACTGTTCATGGGATTCAGCCTCATCACTGTTGCTGAGATGTTTGAGCTGATTTTCTTGCTCTGCACTAGAGGACGTCATCTCAGAGAAGAGCGACGAGGCAACATGCAACATACATACGGGGCACGCCACGCCTTCTGACCAAACGCTGGCACCGTTACAGCCGTCTAGGAAATGGCGGAACGTGACGGAACATCTATAAAACGAAACATAATAAGTTCATATTTTGTTAAATGATTCTTTCAAGGTTTAGTTTTTGGACATTCTGCTAAAGCAACACACAATACAGACGTGTCAAAATTGTATGTTGGTCGTACATAAATGTCGAACAGCGGAAGAATGCTTAACTGTCAGATTTCATACTTAAGCTTGGTTGATTGAGACCCTCTCTGTCCATCTGGACTCAACGTCAGTGAGTACGTAACGATGCTCTCCTGTGTCGGAGACGGGACTTGTAACATGTGCGTATGGTTTGCGGGATATTACGTGATTGCCCGGGGCTCATTTACTACAACAGTGTTTGCGCGACATCGTTGATGGTTAAGGGTCGTTGATGGTAAAGGGTCAAGATGAGTGACGATATGGACCCCACAAATGATGAATACACCGAAATATTACCATGCCGTGGATATAACGTCACTGAGACACTGAAACTCGGTTTTGTTCAATTTCCAATGCAAATGTTATCATCCAATGACAATCGTGAGACTTGTTTCAAAGGTACCTGGCACAAATTAAATACAGGTGTCAGAGAAAGCCATCTCTAGTGTTCTGATTTGGCAAAAGTTAGTCTTGTCAAGCATTAATATAACTATATTGTTTATGCTAAATATGTTCAGGAAAGATCTTTATGTTCCACGATGAGGTTGTATCCTCACATATTGTCCATGATATATATTGTACATAGACATGTCCACTGTAACTGCAACGTATGAGGTTGCCAACGCCCACCCACTAAGCATCCAGTTTACCAGTTAATTTGTCTCGTTAAATTCCCGAACCTATGTACACACCTGGTATAAATGAGTTAGACGGGGATTTAGACTGTATGACCAAGAGTGCTTAGCTTAGAAAGAACAAAATAAAACAAAATTAAATATTGGCGCCCTCGTACCAGATAAACGTGGTACTTCATTAAATCATCCGGATACAAAACGAGGGTTGGCACCAATGTACCCATGCTTCCGGTTCCACAGCTGGCTTATGCGTTGTTTCAGCTGCCACTTCTGAATCCCAGGCCTCGACCTGTGCTTGTTACGTTGGCTGTTAACGTATACCGTGGTGACATTTAGTATTGTAACACTTAAACTATGTTACAGTGAAATTGATCAATATTGTCTCCTGTTAGTTTTCGTCATAATGTATACTTGACAGGCGGATACATTAGGCTGCCGTTTGTCTCACAGTCATTCATTTCTTTCGCTTTCTCGCTATCCAATTCGCTTACTCCATACCTGCCACAACCTCTTTGAAACATGCAAGTACTACGTGTATTTATCTGTCCCGTTTTCTCTATGCTTTTCGGTGATCTGCTAACAAAAGCTCAACTGTGATAACACGCGCAAGGCACTAGGGTGACCAGTTTGCTTCTTGTATGATAAAGCTATGACCTTCAACATGAATGTCATTGTACCTGTTGTGTTATAGTAATGCGATCTCGCTGATGCATCCGAGTAACAGCGCACCTGCCTACAAATCAAAATACTTGGTATTTGTTATGTTATTAGCTTAATGTTTTCAAGACACATAGGGCACCCATTACTGGCGATCCCATGGATAAGTACGTGTCACTGTCTTGTGTTACCCATTGTGTTTGCTACATCGGCAGATGAGCGGTGTCGGTATTCTGTGTACGTCTATTTGTGTACATAGTGATGCTATTGCCTTATATTTCATACATCAAACATGCGTCCAACTATTGTAAATGTGTAGATATGCAGTATCGATCATTCACTAGGTAAACATGTGCACAGTGAATGACTCTATGTTGCCGTGTCGTGGTACACATAATAAAGTCATGCATATCAAGGAAAGTCAACTTTAGAAAATGGGTATTGTGATAAGTGCAGAGTAGGGTCTATCGACATAGTTATCGTGTTCAGAACTCTCATCAGGGTAATTTGCTCATGCATCTTACCGCGCTGTCGGTAAGATGTGCTTTGTCACAGTGACATGTCTGACCTTTTGTGAATTGTTGCTATTGTAGATATCTATGTAGCTATGTGTGTACACAAGTCAGCTGTATCGGCCACTGAGCATACAACCGAGACCAGGACTGCACTTGGTTCGCTTCACGAAAGGGGTCAGTTGTCGAGAACCATTTCTAGAGTTGACATTCAGCTTGCTTGCATACATACAGAAACCACACGTTGACAGATCGCACTGCTTGTCGTGTCCGTTCAGTTGTGGCCATGGAGGCACGATAACACACCCATCAAAATATTCGTGAATGTAAATTACTAATTTCTGTTTATCTGGCTGTTAAGGACACAATTGTTTGATGCCATAATATCTTCCCCAAACAATACTGCACATGAGAGTAAAATGCTTGAAACGTTATTGTTCGATTAGAATTATGATGTCAACCGAAATGACAGTGTAGGCATTTTGTGCACCTAATGTATAGCATGCCACGTTCTGTCACATAGGAGCAGTTTAGACGCTGTGTCATCTTAAAAACGACACACATCTACCTTCACAGAATCCTACTAACAAACTAATCATTGTTAACCGTTTTAGCACTTGCTAATATCTGATCTCTATTTTTCATAATTTATGCCGATTCAAGTGTCAACATCATCTAAAATAACAATAAATGTTTTACAAACAATGTTATGCCAGGTAATAACTATCTATATTAAGAATATGTTATGTTGCAATGCATTAAATATATTCCAAATACAAAACGCTCATACCAGGTACGGCATCTTGTCTGTCTGTAGGTATCTGCTCCATCAGCAGAAAAGAGAATTTGGTTAGGGAAATTATAAGACTGGATCACTGAGAATGAAGCACATATATTTAATTACTATATACTGAAAACGGGTGAAAACAAATCGAAATGTCAGAATCATGTGAAAATGTATTTTAGTGAAACTAATTTTTCATTGCTTTGATAATTATCCCAACTTTTGTGTTCATGTTACATACTCGCTATGTACGAGATGATTTTGAAATCCCACCTTCCAACGGCAGAAAACCTTTCAGAGTAATGTGAAAATGTATTTTAGCGAAACTAATTTTTCATTGCTTTGATAATCATCCCAACTTTGGTTTGTGTTCATATTACATACTTGCTGTGTACGAGATGATTCTGAAATCCCACCTTCCAACGGCAGAAAACCTTTCAATATTCCATAATATACCTGGCTTGCTAACTGAAACGTGAAGATGACGTAATCGAAGTCAATACAATCCACTGCCAGTTTGATTCTTAAAGGCGAACACGGAACGCTAGTGTCCACAATGGTTCCCCACATCATGCTTATGAGATTCATCGTCATCAACTGCGTGTTTTTTCTTCGTCATTGCTAAGCGGCTATCTGTCTTACAAGAGTCAGTGCAGTAATACGTTACATGTACTACTTCCGATACATACAGATATTACATCAACTGTTATACGATATAATGGCGTTATTATCTAAAATTAATACCATACGTTCAATGTTTAATAGTAAAGGTTTATTAATGACGGTGGTATCTCAGCAGCGGTTTAGCTGGCACTTCTCTCTGTTCTGATGTCTAACAATAAGGTAAACGTAATTGTCACAGCATAACATGAAAGTAAATAAACTGCATTGCATACTTGTTATATTTTGTGTTTTGTTTTAGTGTTTTGTTCTTCGAAATGACTAAAGAACGCAGTGTGTGTATGAGAGAAAGAGAAAGAGAGAGAGAGAGAGAGAGAGAGAGAGAGAGAGAGAGAGAGAGAGAGAGAGGGGGAGGGGGATGGGAGAATGTGTTGGGTTACACCTTACCAGTTCCACTTTACTTCCCATTGTCAGTAATAAAACAACTACACTTTTACCTGTTTTGTTTAAATTGTCAATTTAGAACATGGACATTTTATCTATGGAATTTACGTAAGTACATGTTTACGATTACAAGCTCACACATCATTGTGAATAACATATGTCATTGCTCGTATTAAAAGTGAACAAATGTGTATTTATTGTGGAAATAGTATCTTGTAAACAGGTACAACGATATGAATACACAATACCATTTTACAAAGTGGTCAAATGTAACATATGTAACGATAGATATATATGATGCCAGTGTCAACAGATATCCGATGTGTACTTATTGTGGAAATACTCTCTTGTATATAGGTACAACGATAGATATATATGATGCCAGTGTCAACAGATATCCGATGTGTACTTATTGTGGAAATACTCTGTTGTAAATAAGTACAACGATAGATATATTATGATGTCAGTGGCAACAGATATCCGATGTTTACTTATTGTGGAAATACTCTGTTGTAAATAAGTACAACGATAGATATATTATGATGTCAGTGTCAACAGATATCCGATGTGTACTTATTGTGGAAATACTCTCTTGTATATAGGTACAACGATAGATATATATGATGCCAGTGTCAACAGATATCCGATGTGTACTTATTGTGGAAATACTCTCTTGTAAATAAGTACAACGGCAGATATATATGATGCCAGTGTCAACAGATATCTGATGACACAGGCATATGTGTGCTGTGAAATTAGCGCCTCAAACAACGTCGCCCTAGGACAGTGTGTTTAAATCTGTTTTAATTACCTGCAAAAAAATCTATTTTTAAACTGTATAACCTGCTGCAGATGTTTTAATTTATATATATATATATATTACCACTCCTCACCACGAAAGTATATACTTGTATTACCGACCGGAACCGTTACCTTCCTACAGACGCCCACGCACAGTGACCCCGGAAACGAGCTCAATGGCATCCCTAAGGCAGATCATAATTAATTACATCGGAATTGCCAGCACCCAAACAACGGTCCACAGCGTAACATGAACTAAACAGTGATATTGGCACAATATGAAGCCCCGATATTGTTGCATGCCCCAGGTTCTTCCTGCTAAGGGTCAGCATATCCTTGACACGGCTGACCGTAAGTACTCACCTTAACATAACCACTGACCACTTCACATGATAGAAGGGCAGTTTTGTTGACTTTGAGAATACTTGTAAAGGTCAGAAAGTCACACATTACGCCCCCATGTCACCTGTCATATACTGAAAACACGTGTTCTTTTCAATGTTCTTCTTCATACACATCTATGGTTGTTATAATATTCATCTATGTTTGTAAATGTGACGCGTACATTCTTCAACAGACATGCGCGTACACGTCATTCGTTTATCTGTAAAAGCGTTGTTACTTCATGTTGATAATGCAAGAAGAGATAAGACAAGATGAAAAACATATAGTTACTGGTGTCAATTCTATTTCACAAGAGGTGAGCGAAATGCCATTAATGTCGAGTCAATTGTTATACACTTGCTCAGCGACATGCGAGAACGTGTGTATGAATGTGCATATGAATGTGCATGTATGTATGTATGTATGTATGTTTGTGTGTGTGTGTGTGTGTGTGTGTGTGTGTGTGTGTGTGTGTGTGTGTGTGTGTGTGTGTGTGTGTGTGTGTGTGTGTGTGTGTGTGTGTGTGTGTGTGTGTGTGTGTGTATGTATGTATGTATGTATTATGAATGCATGCACATATCCTCATAGTCCTCGACAAATAGACGAACAACAGGTGTTTGGCAGTATGTGACTAGTGAAACAGCCGCGATGTGACATGACTATTTTCATGATATTGATTTTCAAAACTATTTTGACATAGTATAAACCGGCAAATGTAAAACGGTTTGGGTGTGTTATGTTTGTTTTGTATGTGACACAACAATACAGATAAAGTCCACCACGTCTGCTGAAAGACGTTCCGATTGAATGGTTTTATCATGAGCATGTGTCAATAAATTACAGTTAACAGAAATGTGCTTCCCATGGAGTTTGCCAGCATGCTTGTGACAGACATTTGCACAGTTAAAGCACTGAGACAGTGCTGTGTTACAATCACGCTATCACGTGTTACATCTCAACTTCCAGCACCAGGCATTGTAACAAAAAGTACCTCTTTTAACGTCTTTTGGTATGACAAAACCGCACTCAGGTCAGATGCTCCAGAAAGCGAGGGCGGACAGTTGTGTTTGCGTGAAAAGTCATTGACCTCACGACCTCATACACTTTGTGTCAACCTAAAATCGAATTAGGGTTGAACATGGAAGCAAGAATCTTCTGTCATAAAAAGAAAATAACGAGTTTCAGCCATGTATTATTAGAAAAGACTGAATAATGTAGTAGGTTTAAGAAGATACACAGCTACGTTTTACCAGATATCCTCTCCTAAGGGCACGAGTACATGAGATAAAAAAATATCATTGATACGGCTGACAGACGTCAATTTGCAAGAATTTACAAGCTACTTATACATTTGTCCTGTTAAAGGAAACTACACACATGTGAATAATTAGTTTACATGTTAAACGTTGACAGTTCATTTCCTACAGATGTTTTCCTCATAATGTAATAATTCAAGGTGTTCGTTATAAAGATTTTTTTATAAGCATAATTATTTGAATGATACGTTTAGGAAGTAAACTTGCCAGTATCCACCAGTGATTGATGTTTTCCTATCAAGGTCGCCTGAGGTCCTCGAGGTCCTGATTGACTCTTAACGTATGACGTCACACACACGTGGACTAGGTGTTATAAGGCTAGAGCGACTATCGTCATGCCGTAGTCGACCTTTCTCGCTTGCTGGAACACTCACATCATGCGTCCCCTGATTGTCGCAACGCTGGTGGGCCTCATCGCCTCCTTCAGTCTCGTACATGCGCAGTGGAACAACCCTCAGCAAAGTCAGCAGAGTAACCTTTGGGGACAGCAGTCAAATTTGTTGGGACAGCAACTAGGCATCAATCCCCTGAGGAGAAGTTGGGGGAACCAAAATAACATTGGCTGGTGGAATGGCGGTCTGGGAAACAACGGCTTTTCGGAGGCAGAACGCTACCGAACTTGTATTGGAAGGACCAACTTTGGGGACGAGATGAGGATTACCTTCACTGAAGACAGCGACCCTGTAAACCGGCTAGGATTTAACTGGAATCGACCCGTTAATTTACGATTCTCTGCAGTTGTCATAGCCGGTGGGGGGATCCCAGCTGCGGGGACAGTTCCAGTTCGTTGTTACTGAGTATGGCAGAGTGGAGGATTCTTGTGTCAGCAGAGCGCTTGGGGACATCCTTACTAGTTTTGACTTTTGGAATCAGAATCGAGTTCGTGGGATTGTGGGAAATCCAATCAGAATTATGCAAGGACAGAGGGCTACGTCGTCTGAAGTGGTAGACAACTTATCTCTCGAGGAACTGACTGGTCGTGGTTTCGCCCTGTGTCCAACTACCCAGCTGTCAGGCTCGAAATGCTACGACACCATCCCTCTCTGCTGTAAACTGGGGAGGGGATCGTCAGGATGCTACCCGAGGCTTCAACGTGGGACAGTTCCTGCCTGGGTCTCAGGGAAATTTCGGCGGTGGACTCAATGGTGGATTTGGTGGCTTAGGTGGAGGGCTGAACGGTAACCTTGGCGGTATGGGCGGCGGAATTGGCGGCGGATTAGGCACTGGATCTAGTGGTGGCTTAGGAGGAGGACTTGGTGGAGTGCTTGGCGGTAGTACTGGCGGTGGTCAAAATACCGGTCTTCTTGGGACCGGGACCGGAAGCAACACAGGTACAGGTCTTGCCGCTGGTGGTGGGCAACTGGGTGGACTCACTTTCCCATCGGGAGGGAAGAAATAATCCTTGATTCCACGAAGATCACCGGAGGAAAACGCGAACCCTTTCATCAGTGAGTAACACATCTCGAATATTGACTCTGAAACGGATATCCGGCATTTGTATACAGCTTTGATTTTTAGAGTATTTGCGTCAGTAATCCTTACTCCATTTGATTATGTTGAATGTAAATGCGTCGTGGTGTTCTCTGTGACTCATTGAGTGCAAATAAATGAAAAAGAATATTCTGCAAATGTATGTTATAAATTACGTTGTATATATATGTATAATTTATCTCAAAGTGAGTGAATGAATGATTTGATGGAAGTTGACTGTCTTAATAAATAAATTTAAAAAATGCTGTTTTCTTCTTAAGTGACAACTATAAAATACACAAATGCGTGAAT